GCCATCCGCCCTCCCGCCACGGCGCTGCGCCTGGCCTCGCCGGCGACGGCAACCACCCCGAGGTCCCGGACGGTGGTGCTGGCCGCCACCGCCGGAGTCTGCGCGGCAAGCCAGCGTCGCACCTCGCCTGTGTTGGCGAACTGCTGGCTTTTCCTCCGGTTGAGCTCCCAGCCCATGGCGGTCTCGAAATCCAGCGCCACGGCCAGGGCGCCCTGGACGGCCGCCGCCGCTTCGCCCGCCTCCTCGGCCGGCGCGCGCATCCACAACGCGAAGTCGTCCACGTAGATGCGCGGGCGGAGCCTTGGCTCCAAGGCCCCAGCCCGCCGGCGCCATGGGAGCGTCAGGACGCTGAGGAAGAACACGGCTAGAGCGCACCCTGGGAGTAGACCAGAGCTGGGTGGCCACGGCGAGCCGATTGCGCGCCCGACGCGAATCCGCCGGCGAGCAGCGTAGGCGCTGAGAGCCGGCTTCACAAGCCAGTCTGCAGCCCCGCCCGCCGCAGCAGGCCCGGCAGCGACGCCGAGTTCACCTGGTCGTATGCCTTGCACCAGTCGAGTGCGGCTCCTGCGATGGATTCGGACATCGCCTCTGCTGCTTCCAATTCCAAGGCGAGCTCCCAGGCGAGCTCTTCAGCCCCCAATTGGACGTCCTCCCCCGCCCAGCTCAGCCGCCCGCGCGCGAAGTCACGGGCCCGCCCCGCCGCCCACAAGCGATGCATGATCGGCAGCAGCCATATGGGCCGCCTGTCCAAGGGCCCCGCCCCCCCGCCAGGCTTCGGCAGAAGGAGCCCCTCTGGCTCTACCAGCTCGCTTGGCCACTCGCCGACGGCCTCCACGGTCTCGAAGAAGTCGGCCACCCAGCCCAGCAGCTCCTGAGGCAGGAGGCGCAGCTCCGCCACCGTCCAACTATCGAGCCCCGGCTTCTTCCGCTTTGGCATGCGGCGAAGCAGCCACTCGACGTCAGCAGCTGCCCACTGCTGCCTGGGCGGGAAGGGCGGCATGCCGCCCAGCTCCTGCAGCCAGACCTCGCCGAGTGGAGGGGCCGCTTGTCGCTGCCAGAGCTGCCCCCAGGGCCCCTCGTAGAAGCGGAGCCTAGCGGCGGGCCCGCCGCGCAATGCAAGCAGCCAGGACCGCCGCCCAGGAGCGTTCGGCGCCGCTGCATTGGCCGCGGGGTCAGGCACGAGCTCCGCGTCCAGCGTGCCACAGCCGCGGATCCACCTGTACAGGCGGCCCTGCGCGTTCGCCAGGGACTCGTCGACCCACCGGCGCCACTCGTTCTGCCTACGCTCACGCGCAGCCGCGCGGGCCGACGCCCAATCAGCCTCCGCGAGCTGCACCAATGCCCCGGGGAACGCGGCATCCAAGTGCACCGCCGCCAGTCGCGTCTCCCAGGCGGCGTCGCCCGCATCGGCGGCCCGCAGCGCCGCGAGCGTCTCCTCTGCCACGCCCCGCGCCGCGACGCTGCCGCGGGCCATCGCGTGGCCGAGTCCGCGCAGGCGCCGTAGCCTCAGCAAAGCTGCATCTGCGGCAGCATCTGCCGCCTCGCCGCCGCCTCCGGCTGCCGGAGCCCGCTCCGCGCGCAGCGCAGCAGCCGCGCGCGGCCGCTCGGGCGCCGCAGGTCGCCCCTGCCGCGCCGCCAGCCATGTCCGCATCGTCATGCTGAGCACGGCCCACGCCGACGCCAGGTCCCGGGCCCTGAGCGCCTCGCGGTACGGGGCCCCGTACTCCGCCACCACCGCCGTCGTGACTTCCCGTGCAACTGCTGGGCTCCAGCCGTCGGCGGCAGCGCCATCGAGGGCTGGGACCGGCTGCCGAATCCACGCCGGCTCGGGCGTACTGGCCCGGAAGGTCACCAGCAGCGCCGCGTGCATGGCCAGCCCGAGGTCCCAGCGGATGCTGACGCGCTCGACCATGCCGATGGCCTCGGCGTTGGCCAGGAGGTAGTCGAGGCGGGAGGGGGCGCCGTGGGTAGGCACGCAGGTGGGCCCTGCCGCGGCCAGCAGGTCGCGCCAGCCTGCGGACCACGAAAGGCTGCGAGGGGGTCACGTAGGGCAGCGCGGGCGCCACGAAGGGCTGAAATGGGGCCATGAAGGGCAGCGCGGGGGCCACGAAGGGCTGCAACGGGGCCGCGAAGGGCAGCGAGGGGACCACGAAGGGCTGCAACGGGGTACGAAGGGCAGCGAGGGGGCCACGAAGGGCTGCAGCGGGTCCACGAAGGGCAGCAGGGGGGCCACGAAGGGCAGCGAGGGGGCCACGAAGGGCAGCGAGATCCAGATTCCGAAGATGGCTGTGAGGGAGTCTTGGTCGTGAGCGCGACTCCTGGGTGCAGGAGTGTCGGGAGCGCGGCGCTTGAGTAACATCTTGGGAATTCCAACGCAAGAGCGCGGTTCTGGAATAAATCGCAAGCGGGTCTCCAGCGGGAGCGCGATTCCAGAGCGCCGAGAGAGCCATCTCTGAATACATGACAAGAAAATCCCAAGCGAGAACGCGATTCTTTAGTAAAGTGCGAGAAAGGCTCAGGCAGGAGCGGAGGTTCTGGCCAAAGCGTAAGGAGGTCTCAGGCGGGAGGCGTTGTTGTTGTAGTCCAGGGGCCAGGGGCGCAGCTTGAGCCCATTAATTTCCTGGGGTACAAAACTAGGTGCGAGCCCCGGGGAGGCACTTCAATTGAAAAAGCACAATGGTCACAGGAAGGGGGGATCAACAATAATCATTACTCAGTCTGAAAATTCAACAGCAACAGCAACAATCAGTTTAAGACTGTTCGCTCCTATATGATCGCGTGTTAAGCAGCACGTATCTCGCATCTAGCGCCCCCCACCTGCATATAGCGCAGCCCGTAAAACAGGGGAATAGAAGAGGAATGGAAGGGGGAAGGAAAAAGATTGATCACAAAAATCGTTAGCAGGAGGGGGGCTGGGAGCAGAAAGCACGTGGCGAAACCAGACGGGCAGATCGGGCGGATAGGCCCTAACGGGCGGGTCGGGAAGGCGGGCCCAGGCGGCCAGGTCGAGCAGGCGGGTTGCTGAAACGTGATATCTGCTTGAGTCGCGAGAACTTTTCGGGCGTTGGCGCGATTCCCAAATCAGTTGTGCGAAAACCACAGCGAGACCGTGATTCATGATTGTCGCGGGCGCCGCGTCTGAGTACATTGCGAGGGGGTCCCACGCGAGAGTGCGAACCTTGCATATTTTGTGAGGAAGTCCTGCGCGAAAACGCGGTTTTGCAATGCATTGCAAGAGAACTTCAAGCGGGAACCGTTGTTGTTGTAGCCCGAGGGGGAGGGGGGGCAATTAGTCATTTTTGAGCACGGAGACGTTCTTTGCTTAAGAACAGGGTGCGGTCCCTTGGAGGAGCACCCCTATTGAAAAAATACCATGTGCACCAGTGGGGGGATCAACGATGATTCTGCTCAAATATGGCGAGCCCAACAACGGCCACCGCAACAGCAGCACCAACAGCAGCAGCAGCAGCAGCAACAACACCAGCACGTTGTCTGTTCGATGTTGGAGGAGGAGGAGGAGGAGGAGGAGGAGGAGGAGGAGGAGGAGGAGGAGGAGGAGAGGAGGAGGAGGAGGAGGGGGAGGAGGGAGGAGGAGGAGGGAGGAGGGAGGAGGGAGGAGGAGGAGGGAGGAGGAAGGAGGGAGAGGAGAGGAGGAGGAGGAGGAGGAGGAGGAGGAGGAGGAAGGAGGAGGAGGAGGAGGAGGAGAGGAGGAGGAGGAGGAGGAGGAGGAGGAGGAGGAGGAGGAGGAGGGAGGGGGAGGAGGAGGGAGGAAAAGGTGGAGCCGCTGGGTGCGTGGGCCCCTTCCTGCAAGTGCCCGCTCTGGCGGCGCCGATGCGGCCCGCCCCGCGGGCCCGTGCGATCCCACGGCGGCCCGAGGTCGACGGGCGCCCGGCGCGGCAGCGACGCAGCACTGGAGCGAGTGGCTCCAGGAAGGTCCCCAGCACACGCACCCTACTGTTGAGTCGGGCCTGTCCCTCTACAGGGGGGGATATTCAAAAATAGTAAAAAAATAGTCTGGGGACTATTTGTTGAGTATTGCTTGACCATTTTGGAATATTTTTGTAGTATTTTTTTTAATTCGTCCAAAATCCCCCCCGTAGGGGGACACGCCCGACTTGATCCTATTGTCCCAGGGCCCAAACACCCAGCTTCCGACAATTTTCCCGAAATAGCAGCAGCCAGCAATTGGTAGCGAATCCTGCCCCCCCTCCCGGGTCAACTTGTAGCATGAAGTCCCCCTCCCATGAGTTTGAAAAGAGGGCCTTGTTCGTGCCGAGTTGCCTCGATGGGGCAGTAACGCCTGGAAGATCAGATATCGTCGCTCGAGTTTTTTCGAGTCGCTGAATGTCCGGGCCTCGCACAGCGTCTGGCCCATCCCGAGGCTCCGCGCGATCTGGGGGCGCTCTGGCCCCGCCACCGTGCCCAGTTCGGTTCCCACTCGCCCCGCCGTTGGCCGGCACGCCCTGCCGGAGACACCTCGCCGCCGACGAAACATCAGCAGCGAGCCTGGGGTGGGAGTGGGAAGCGGCGGGGCTTCTCAGAAGGCCTCCAGCCTTTGAGAGGTTTTCGATGTCCTCTGGGGAGGCCTGAAAACTTCGCTGAAGGCCGGGGGATTTCAGAGCCCTCGGAGAGAGCCCGCCCATTCTCACATCCCCCCCCCCAGGCTCGCCGGCTCGCCGCCGATCTCATGGCGTCAGCGTCGCAGAGCGGCTCTCGCTCGAAAAGCAATATGGGGTGAGCCCGGACTGCCCTGGAGAATTTCGTTCCGGAGTTCAAGATGAATTTCGTGCGTTTTTTGTTTTTGCCAGGAATGAATTGAGATTGCAAAACATCCACGTGAAAATCCCCTTGTCTTTCGCTCGCCGTTTCGGGGTTCTGCCTTGACAGGAGTCGCGCAGCAAATGCGCTGCAGCACGTCTGCAAGGCCGCAAGGTCGGCGCAGTGACCCAGCAGACAAGTCACGTCTGGGCCCCACTCGCTCGCGTTCCCCGGCCGCGCAG